CCCCGCTGCAAGTCAGCGTGACAGAGTGAGTGTGGGGTCCCCATGTGTGTCCCCCCGGGCAACTCAGTCACCCCATTTCGCCCCGGGCAGCCCCAACCAGAGACGATCCCGGGGCTTTCCGGGCTCTGGCGCCTTCACACCGAGATGTCCCCTTCCTACAGCCTCCTGTTGGAGACTGCGCCCTGTCCCGGGGCGGGGGGGAAGGAGAACCCCAACTCCCAGGGGCCTGGGGACGCTGACCCCGGGGCGGGGGGGCACTGCAAAATGGCAGGCAGCGCTCAGCTCCTGGGTGATGGAGGGGACAAGGAGGTGCAGGAGACCCCCTGCCCACTGTGGCTTCATGTCCCTGGGGAGAAGGAAAAGGGAGACGTTCCTGGCAGCCAGGAGCAGCGGGCAGAGCCGAGGCCGTTACTTGGGTGCTCTTTATTGAGGACTTGTCCTTCAAGAGCGACCAGAGCGATGCCACATGTAACCTCTCGCCCACAGAGGTGGGCACGGGTTGGTTCAAAACTCTCTGCTGCCCGTGACGGTGAAAGCCGGCGCTCCGCAGCGCTCGGCTCCGGGCCGTCCCTCCTGGCATTAAATTTCTCTCAGCGCTTATAAGCGAGATCCACCTGCGGGTGTTTCATAAGCTACGTGCCAACCCACGCTGCCAGATGGGATCATTATCAAGGATCAGCTTTGCGAGTTCATTAATGGTGTCCAAAGTCACTTGACACTGTGGTCTCTGCTCCGGGCATCTCAGGTAACACCCAAGTTGTTCTCGGTGCTCCCCGAGGGCCCACGAGCTCATCTGTGGGGCCATGCACTAGAATTATTTCCCCCTTTGCTGGGGTGCTGGATCCTCCACGACTGCTACAAGGAGTTGAGAGCTTCCAGACCTCGCAAGAATGTTATCAGCTCCTGCCCACGGACTTTCAGCTGTGGAGAGCCCGTCTCGATGCACGTCTCAACATCACCTGCACCAGGGCCACCAGGGCCATGCTCGTGGGGAGGGATGGGGACCCCCTGCTTAGGCTGCCCTGATGCTGGTGGGGGCTGACCACCATGAAGACCCCCGTCACAGCACATCCTCAGTGGCTGGGTTTGTCCGGGGGGGAATGAGCTTGGTTTGGTGGCTCGGAGGTGCATCTGATGTCGGGGAGCTCCTGCCAGGTGGGTGCCCTGGTCCCACTGGGTACGAGGCTGGGGGTGAAGGCGGCTCTGCCCGCAGCTGGGCTCATCTCCACTGGGGAGCCTGAGGGGTGCTGGGGGCTAGCACCCATCCCCAGGTCCACCACCCATCCCCAGGTCCAGCACCCACCCCCAGGGCCAGCTCCTGCAGGAAGGAAAACGGCCGAGCCTTCATGGTGGCTGGGCCGCATCGGCCGAGCTGCCCTTACCGTGGCGTCCTGTCTCGTCTCCCCACCAGGGTCCCCGTCCCTTCCTCCTGCTCCTCCTACCCGGCCCCCGGCAAGGCACCAGCAGTGGCCAACGGCACGGGCAGCCCCTCGGGACGGAGCTGCCTGCCCAAGCTGAACATCATGTTCATGAAGACACACAAGACAGCCAGCAGCACCATCCTCAACATCCTCTTCCGCTTCGGGGAGAAGCATCGCTTGAAATTCGCCTTCCCCAATGGCCGCAATGACTTCTACTACCCCTCCTACTTTGAGCGCAGCCAGGTGCAGCACTACCGGCCGGGCGCGTGCTTCAACATCATCTGTAACCACATGCGCTTCCACTATGAGGAGGTGCGCAAGCTCCTGCCGGCGGACGCCACCTTCGTGACGGTGCTGCGGGACCCTGCCTACCTCTTCGAGTCCTCGTTCCACTACTTTGGGCGCGTCATCCCTCTCACCTGGAAGCTGACGGGGGAGGACAAGCTGGCGGAGTTCCTCCGGGACCCCTGGCACTACTACGACCCCAACGGGTTCAACGCTCACTACCTCCAAAACCTCCTCTTCTTTGACTTGGGCTACGACAACAACATGAACGCCAACAGCCCGCTGGTGGAGGAGCACATCCAGGAGATAGATCACCGTTTCCACCTCGTCATGTTGCTCGAGTACTTCGACGAGTCCCTGGTGCTGCTGAAGGACCTGCTGTGCTGGCAGCTGGAGGACGTCCTCTACTTCAAGCTCAACGCCCGGAAGGGCTCCACCGTCTCCCGGCTGACACCTGAGCTCTATGAGAAGGCCACCTCCTGGAATCTCATTGACGCCAAGCTCTACAGCTATTTTAATGCCACCTTCTGGCGTAAGGTGGAGGCCTACGGGAGGGAGCGGATGGCCAAGGATGTGGCCGAGCTGCAGCGGGAGAACGAGAAGATGAAGAGCATCTGCATTGACGGGGGACACCCCGTGGACGCCAGCGCCATCCAAGAGTCCTCCATGCAGCCCTGGCAGCCCCTGGGGGAGAAGTCCATCCTGGGCTACAACTTGAAGAAGAAGATCAACAAGAAGCACCAGAAACTGTGCCGCAAGATGCTGACGCCCGAAATCCAGTACCTGACCGACCTGGGGGTCAACCTCTGGATCACCAAGCTATGGAGCCACGTGAGGGACTTCCTGAAGTGGTAGGGTGTGGCGAGTGCCCCGCTCTCCCCAGGGAAGAACCAGGTGCTTTCCTTTTTCTTACTCATGGTGTCTTTTGGTTGGACATGAGCAGAACTGGCTGGAGGCTCCGGCACCCAGGAACAGCGAGGGGAACCCTCCATCACCTTCCTGCAGAGCCCCAGCTTGGGCAGGAGCCCATGGGGAGCTGCCGTCACCCGCTGGCAAGGAGAGCGGGGCCTCTGCCTCCGCCCCTGCTTCCGAGGGCTCAGGGATTGGGGGGCTGGGTGGTTTTTTCCAGCAGGATCCACTTCCTTCCCCACGGAAAGGCTGGAGGAGGCATTCGTGAAGGACGTGGCCTCGTCACAGAGGGAGCAGGACATCCACCACCATGCTGCTGGAGGCACGCCGTGGGTCGGGCAGTGCGGGCAGGGATGTGCCTGGCCAGCAGCGGCAGGGCGTCCTCCTTGCCCAGGGTGGGCAGACATGTCAGCAGGGAACCCAAACCTCGAGGGGCTCCTCAAATCACCCCGTTTCCCTGAGCCCTGGTTTCGGAGCTGCATGTTGGAGCCTGCTGCACCACTCCAGTGGGTTCCACCCCATGGGCGTGATGAGTGCAGCACATTCTCAGCCCACCCACAGCCGTCAGTCCGTGGCAGGCTGTGACCCAGAGCCAGCAGGTGCCATTTGCAGAATGGAAAACCCACCCCAAAAGCACCGGCATTTATCAA